TTTTAAATTAATAAACTAATTCTTGCATATTCGAGTTCGATTTTATCGTGCAATTGTGAAAAAAATTAACGACATTAGAATCATAAATGTATATATTTTCTACTATATACTATCCGGATGTGGTTCAATTGACGATTTGGAAGTTTCTGCTTCTGTTGCACAAATTAATTGATGTTTTCTTGGAAAATCTTGCTCTAAAGCGTTACGCGTTCTAGAATACTCTGTAAAATGTTAAATAAGCCACATCCTAAACTGTCCCCGAACATTGATTGTGCCGTATCCTCTACCATATCTTTCGTTATGTAAAATAAGTAAACAGCTTCCGCGCTACGCGCATATATTTTGCATTTTCGATACTAATTATATATGTATATTTAGTTTAGAAATACAGCTCGCGCACATAATCGCCTCGAATAATGATATCTGGTTTCATTGTTCTCATTTGAGAGTCAGATGAGAGTTAATAATTAGCCGGCTCTATGCTTAATGCAATCCAATTTGATAGCGTTACAGTAGACACAGACGGACGATGGTGTCGCGTTATAGTATAATGTCTGTGAAATTGTACAAATCTAACATATACATTTTCTCTATATAAAGATGAAAAGGAATATTATGTTTCACAGAAATGGAAATTATACGAGATTATCCAATACGATATGCACACTGAAATCATATGCTGTGTCGATCTATTGTACTTGCTAATAAAATATCGGTCGACAATTAACGCGTTAATTCAGCAACCACCTAACATAATCTGTTACGCAAATCAAAATGGTGGAAATACAGATTGGATCGCACCTTTTTTTCGATAGTCTTCTGACGCGTTTGTGATTTGAAGAGAATAGAAATAGATAAAAGTACTATTTTTGCGTTCATTACTTTATGATACCATAGTTCTGAACATACAAAACTAATGTGACATACTTGTAAATATTAGCATAAGACCGATAATTATACTCCGTTCGTATCGAACTGTTGAATCACTTAATATAGCATTATGCTTTCCTTATTTAACATAGAGTATGAGGAAGTATTTGCTACCTCAATCTTATTTCAGTCAAAAAGAAGAAAAAAGAAAAGATAAAAGGAGAGAAAGAATGAAAGAGAGAATATTGATATAATAAAGATTTTATCTATAATATCACACACTAGAACATCTCCCGTAAAATATTTTTTAACTGAAAAGATTTTAAATTTAGCGATTGACTAAAGATAATCAACATTTATCAAAAATAATCATGTTTTCCTCTAATTAATAATGAACAGTTGATATTTCTTTGTTATAAGGAAAGACTTCTCATAAAGTTTTGTATTCCTAAACGAAGAAACAAGGTGAAAGTCGAGCTCGACTTATAGAACGTATTATCTTGTATAATTCGAAACTATCGATATTGCATGCTGAACATATTGTCTTATTGACATACATAAAATAAATTATTTTGTAGATTATTTTACGCGCCGCGTGAAGCCAATTTTGCAATTTTCATGTGCATTTGTGTAAATAGTAGCATATATTGAAAAAGCGAGACAACATATTTGTGACGATATGGATTCATGTTAAAATAGAAACGAATGTAATTCATATTTTCTTGTGTTTGAGGATAAGATTGACTGCGTAACAACAGCTCATTTGAGAATTGCGAAATGAAATGTAGCGAGAGCTATTTAATTTACAAACATGATTGCGATGGTATGTACAACAATGAAATAAAGAAATAAAAAGGCTGCGAATTGTAAATATCGATTCGGAGAATGAAATACAGTGGCATAATGGAATACAGTTTAAAATTGTGCGTATATTAAATATGTAAAGCGACCATAATAACGTATTTTATCTATCTTTATTGTAGATTGCTCTGCGTTTCTGAAAATATATCTGCAGAAAAGTTTTTCATGGTAGTGATAGCGTTATGTTTGAAACATAATACCAAAAAATATTTTTTTAATGATAATATTTCAGTTTTTCACGTGTGAATACATATTTAAAATTTAATATTAAAACATTTTTTTTTATATATAAACTGATGAGTGTAATTATATAATATTGACTATGAAATCAACAATTATATTAAAATGCGGTTAAGAATGTGCTTCGCTTTAAATAGATATACTGATATCCTATCTTTAAAGTGCCGCTTTTTCCAATCATAAAAAAATACTGTAAATAACAAATTATTTATTTCTCAATAAATACTTGGTGAGTATACTCGTGCAACATTTCTCGTGGAGCTTAGATTTATATTAAGACATTTATGTCAATTTAAATATAAGTTATAAAATATATAACAATTTTGCTATAGGTTGGAGATAAATGGCAAATGATCGTTTGGATATAGTAATATTTGGTGTCACTGGATATACTGGAAAATATGTAGTGAAGGCTGCGACACATGTGTAAAGAATAGAAAATAAAGTTTAGTATTGCTGGAAATATAGGACGGAAATTTTAAACATGATTGTTAAAGAATTTGCCTTAGACATGAAAAGGATATATTTCAATTATTTCAAGAAACAATGAATTATTTTGTTATATTATTAACGAACATATATGTATCTTTATAGAGAATATATCTATAATTCTGGTTAATCTAAAAGACAAGAAGTCTCTTAAAATGACAAAGATACTCGTCAGCTGTTGTGGTTCACGTTGATTTTATGGAGAACCAGTTATAAAGCATATATTGCTACTTATACTCATTATATTGATCTCACTGAAGAGAAAGTAATTGAATATACATTTGGAACTATAACTACAGATAATTTTTAACAATTCATGGGGAGAATGCAATTGGAATACAACATGCAACAAATAAAGCTGGTATTTACATGGTAAGTGCTTGTGGTTTTGTTTGTATTCTTAGCGATTTGAGAGTCATTTTTGTACAACAAAAATTCGAAAGAGAAATTAAATCTCTGTCGAAGTATATGTATATGTAAAGATATGCGAAGTATATGTAAAGACGAAGTATATGTAACTGCGAAGTATATGTAACTGACACTGATAAGGAAAATCCATATGTGAATTAGGCATTTTGAGAATACGCGATATACAATCTTATTGAAATGAGTTACGTGCTAAGTTGTAATCTATCAAATTTACTCGGAATTAAAGTCAAGTTAAAACTATTACGCTTAACTCTATTACAGATTGTCTATCATATGTAAATATTTATACATGTCTTTTCCTCTTCAAATATTGTAAAAGGTATGGATATGTATAAAGCACACATAAATTTTAGTTAGTTAATACTAATATTCATACGAATATTAATATCAAAATTAAATGTAATAATAAAACGTAAAAAGAAAATCCTGTCAATTAAAATTGTAGAAAAGTTTCGTATTTTTAATTATATAATAAGAGAAAGCATACCTCACTCTTGTGCTGTATTTTATAATATTAAATTAATCAAAAATTATTTAATTCTTTAATTATTTAATTACGTGCTTACTTATTTTGGAAAACAAATAAATTAACTTTTACATTTAAAATAAAATAATTCTTATGTTTGCATAATTCATTCTTAATTTGTTCTTTATTTATTTGTTGTACATTTATGATCCAAAAAACTTGCATATTGAATATTACGATATAAAATTAATTCCTTCGTTGATTATTTTACATGGTCAAATATAGATACAAATTATATGAGGGATGCATTAATGAATAAAAAAATAGATTTCATATTTCCTCATATATATATCCGGATATATATAAATAATTTAGAAAATGGTATCGTTATTACACATTGTTTAAAGAAACGACGCGCTGAAAAAAAAAAGGCGTATCCAGTGTATATATAGGGTGTTCATTCTGTTTCACGCATGATGCATCATTTATCCTTGTTTAACATTCGACGAATAACAAGGATAAATATCATTCATTTAATTTTTGGTGCGCTTGTATGTATACAACTACACAGTACATAGGCCGATATTCATAGGCTGTGGTGAAAATCTCGCTACAAATGCTTCGAAGCATTTAGAAGACAGAAGAATTTTGGACTAATTAGAAGACAGAAGAATTTTATAAACTGATCAATTAAAAAACGCTTCAAAGTGTTTGCAGCATAACCATAATCGATTCTTATTTCAAGATCGTCTTAAGTCTTAGGCCTACTCTACAGTCGGGAGACATTATTGTATGTTGGGCCGTAAGAAATTAACCAATCATAGTCAATTGTTTCTTTCCATGCACAGCCGACAACCGAGTATGCATGCTCAACATCCAACGCCAATATATAATGTATTGTAGAATAGATCTTAAGACGCTAATGCAGCCCTCTGATTGGTTCGTGACTTCTTAAGACCGTACTTAAGACAATCTTGAATATAAGATCTAACTATAAATATCAATCATAGACTACGTTTAAAGGGCCATCTACATAAGTCGCAAACGCAGAATGCAGTTCGCAGACGCAGACAGCCAATGAAAAATTGTTATTAATACCATTGATGCTTCTGATTGGCAAATGCGTTTTGCGTTTACGACTTATGTAGATGGCCCTTTAAACGTAGTCTATGACTGGTATTCATTCATCTTTAAGAGTATGTGCTCCCCGCTTATCTCGGAACGTACCTAGTAGCTGCATTCGGCAATGCAAATCTGAGGCAATGCAAATCGGAGTACTTTTTTCTATAGTGCACGTGACATATGCTATAAGAACTCTGTCCAATAAAAAAAAGGAGCAAGGAACAGAGAATAAGAATTTCAACATCATGTATCAGAAATCATTGTGGAATACACAGTTTCTAATAGGTTGAAATTCTTATTCTTTGTTCCCTGTTCCGTTTATTACGCGGCGTAGAAGAATAAGGAATTAGGAATAAGGAATAACGATACTTATCAGAAACCATGTATTCCGATGTATCCGATTTATGATAGGTTGAAATTTTTATTCTTTATTTCTAATTCCTTATTCTTTCTATTGTGACTGCACCTTTAGCACCGCCTCAGATTTGCATTGCTGAACGCAGTTCATATATGTGTAATTGATGCCATTTTTGTCGTCAGTTGATTGTCGATTGTCGATATTTCTCGTGCTTGACCACGTGTATGCACAAGTGGTGCAAACGTGAATTCTTCTCATAGAAAAATATACTTTTAGGAGAAAACTCGATTCGTACAGTTATTAATTTGCTTCAATTGATAATTTCGTAAGTATGTTTAATTTATCTTGCATGCACTTGAACTATGATCTTTTTTTTACGTATATATAACATGCAGCATCATGTCATCCAAGACCGGAATCAGACTACGCATTGAAGAATGAGATTGAAAGATTGAAGTTTGACCAATCAGAACAAAAGAAATCAAAATTTCTTTGTGAAATTTCAATCTTTAATCTCAATCTTCAAAGTCTGATTCCTAATGTCATTGCGTTAATTTGCCAGTATATGATGGAAAAAATGACGTTATTCTCAATTCTTTAGAGCTACATTCTGTTTCGCGCATAATGTGCGCGCATAATATAATGTTTATTCTTGTTTAATATTCGAACAACAAAAATAAATGATGTGAAATGCATCCTAAGTCGACAATAATCAGCTGTTGAGAATTGTTGAAGAATAAATCGATGATATTGACTGTATTCAGCAGAGAAAGTAGCTTCTTCAAAATTGATGGCACTCGCCATCGTAAAAATGGCGGCGATTCCGCCATCCTAAAATCGTAAATAAATCAAAGTATGATACACTGGTTACCTCAATCGGTGAATGAGATGAAATAATAATGTAATCAAGACAAATAATGTAACAATGTATAGTCGAAGCCGGAAACGTTTTTCAAAAAATGGGTAATGTGATGCAATACTCGAAGCGGACGAGACTTACGTCCGTCTCACTCAAGTGGTCCTGCGAGACTTTAAAAAAATAATGCAACTGTTGTAAAATTCTTCAATATGTTTGATTTATGTATTTAGATACATAAGGAATCAAAAATAAACCATTATATTGAAAAATTTTACAACAGTTGCAAAGCTACTGTTTTCTATGCTGGATATCAATCGTGAAACTTTTTTCTTAGGATGAAAATTAAAAATTTCTTCATTAATTTCAATGGTTAAAATTTTCACTTTCTATCCTAGGACAAAGTTTCATGATTGATACCCTCAACAGCTAATGGGCGCATTTAAGTCGACAAAGTAGCTAGCCTACTCGCCAAGCAAATAAACATTTGGTTGTTACTTATAGATCCAACCAATCACATTTAATGATGACGAGCAGGCTAACTGCTTTGTTCAGCTTGAACGCGCCCATTGAATTGCAGTAAAAAATCTCTAGATACTTGCTTGCAGAATCAAGAGAAAGTGGAGCGGATTCAGCTGGAAATCGCTATTTTCAGTTCATCGTTGAGTATGAAAATAAGGAGCGTGATGTAATGGCGATAACATATGATGTTGCACACATTAGTATTGGGTGCATCCAGAAGCACGACCGCTCACTGAACGCTCAGTGAGCTCTCTTGCATCTGATTGGCACATTCCATTAGATCTAAAAATATAGATCAAACAGGTACAAGAGCTCACTGAGCGCTCAGTGAATGGTCCTACTTCTGGCACTTATGTGTCATATATGAAGAAAACATTCTGTTCCATTCTTCCTTGATTCTTTCTGCTTGCTTGCAATTAATTACAAATTTTAGTTGTTACATAGTTACTTAATTATTAATTGTTACCTAACAGATATATTTTATATAATATTTGTGTAAAGAAAATCAAATTAGCTGTAAACATTTTGGTCTTTAAAATTTCTATTTACTATTGTGTAAATGTAAACTTAAGTAAAGACTCCAAAAATGAACTCACAGGAAATAATATATAGATATACACAATAGTACATATGATATACAGGATGTTTAAAAAAGGGATCTCGGATTTACTCGGGAGGATGACGTTTTCGAAAGAAATTTCAGACAAAAGTTGTATAAAAAGATCTAAAATAGGTAATAACAAGGGTTACGAGCCAATTAAATTAATAATTTTTAATATTTAAAACTAGATTAAAAAAAAGTACAAATGTTTTGACACCGATTATTCTCAATGTTATTATAATAATGTTACAATCAATATCGAATTCTCATAATACAAAAACAGTGTTCTATACGTTATAAAATAGATTTAAAAAATGTAGATAGGTATCAAATGCTTATGTCTTCCTTCTTTGTTACGAATATGTTTATTTTACTATGGAGTCAATTTACTATGGAGATTAGTATTAACGGTAGATTAAATTTCTTGGATATTATGTTATTGATTAAGGATTTGATATTGCAAAATAATTTTTTCTGGCAGATTTCTTAATTATAATTCACAGCATCCGCTTTGTCACAAGAGAGGCGTAATCTATGGGTTTATGGATAAAATAATACGCTATGTCATCCTCATTTCCAACAAATCAATCTAATTAATGTTATCAATGCTATCTATTTTTTTAAATAATGAATATCCACTATAATTCATCTTTTCCTCTATACAAAAAAGAATTAAATTTTATATGGATAATACTAACAGACTGTTAACAAAAAAGTTAAGAAGTTTTCACAATTCCTTATGTGAAATCCGAGAAATTCTCTCCAATTGTTAATATGTTCAACTGTAAATTAGTAAATCTACAGGGTGGGCCATCTAGCGTTTGGAATTTCAACCGGTTATTTTGAGTTTGAAACGCGTAATAACATTTATGATGTATTAGAAATTTAGTTTTTTGTTTGACATGGGTTCGCTATACGCTTGAACAAAATTGGGAAATATTGAAAACTTACTTCCAAGTGGTGAGTCTTTAACCCAAACTATTTGTATTCTATTTCGAATTCGCTTAAAAATTTCATAAAAAAAGGAAAGGATAGTTTGGATCCATTATGCAATCAAAACATAGTCTATAAGATCTCTTGTGATATTTGTGATGCTAGTTATGTAGGTCAAACAAAAAGACAATTAAAGACAAGATTACAGGAATATGCTTCCGATATTAATAAAAGATCTAAATCGCCATCGGTAATTTCCAATCACTGTATTGATCATAATCATAATTTTAAGTAGGATAATATTGGAATTTTGGACATTGAATCCTCTTACAATTACAGAGATTAATATTAGAAATGATCCATATAAAAAGACAGAAACATGGGATTAACAAAATGATATGGAATCTCTGCCGGAAACATATTCTAACATCATACATTCCCTTTCCCCTTTCTAATACTTCTCACCTTTTCCTTTCCACATATTATTGTTTCCATGTCTATTTGTCTCCTTTTTAACATTGATATTGTCGATGCACATTTCTCTACTCTAATACAGCACAAGACTTAATTATAAAATTTCTGTATCCATTGCTTTACTCCTTTAATTTTTGACTCACAGTAGTTTCGACTGAAAAAGGTATTTATAGTTTTGTATTTTAATATGCACTGAATTATTGACTTGTTCATTTTTGATATGTAATTAATATTAATGTTAACATAATTCTAATTTCTATTTCTATTATACTTTTTTAGAAAAATTTTTTCTTCTGTGTTTGATCTATTTTTAATTGTTATTATGTTGTTGTTTAGTTGTTTTTTTTATATACTGTGATTATTTTTTAATTGTATTCTTAACAACTGATTTCTTTAAAAACTTTTTAATAGATTGCTTTTCATAGAAGAAAAATATCACGAGCGTCTCGATTGTATTGATTTCAATGTCTCACTTAATATTTTGATGGATCACATATTCGTAACAAAGAAGGAAGATATAAGCATTCGATATGTATCTACATTTTAAAAAATCTACTTTATAATTTATAGAACACTGTAATATGAGAAGCCAACATTTATTGTAATATTATTACAATAATATTGAGAATGATTGAGAATTGGCGTCGAAACATTTGTATTTTTTAATCTGATTTTAAATATTAAACGTTCATTTTAATTTGTCTTTGTTATTACCTATTTTTGATTTATTTTAATTGAGCCATTTTATTAATTTATATTTAAAAAAAATCTATTTAAAGATCTTATCAGTTTGATTTTGGGTGGCATCGCCAAGGTTAAAGTCTTTATTTTTAAATGGATCATCTTATTTTTTTATGCCAGAATTTAATAATTGGTGTCAAAAATTTTTCAAAACATTATAATAAAGTTATTTTTCATTAAGTATTTTTTTAAGTTATAAGGCTTAAAAGTTACAGTCCCATACAGTACCATCGATATTAGTATGCGTCGGACACTTTAAAAAAAGAAAAACTTCTTAAATGTTGTTCAGGATTATTCTAGATAACATTTCAATATCAATATCAATTGTCATTGGAGATTATTCAACTTCTTATTTTTATTTTTATGCTAAGAATGAATTTTTAGTGCAAAAATGAAAATAAGAGAAATAATCTTCAATGGCATTGATCTTGACAAATGTTATCTAGAACATGATCCTGAACAACATTTAAGAGATTTTATTTACAGATAAGATCTGTACATAGATCTTATACCTTACAACTTTCGTTTAAAACATTTCTTTCAAAAACGTTCTTCCGAGTAAATCCGTGGTCCCGATCTTTTTTGAATACCTTGTTACAATGCCAATCAGACACTAGTTATTCATAATAATAAATTCATAATAATAATATAATAAAACTATATATATTAATAATAAAATTACAGACATTTTAACTCTTAGTCCTCTTCAGTATATAAGAAATAATCATCAAAAGACAATCCGTTACATTTCAAAATAAAAGAAGATATGGCACATTTTTCATATATCATCGTTAAATTGCAGTTCAATATAAAAATCTTCCACATTTCTTAGACGTCGTGAATGATAGTCGACCTTTCATTATTTATATTGCATCTATGTAGACTATTGTTATATGTCTGATTACAATATAATTGTTTTAAATGATTTTATATCCTTTATCATTGTGATTATGTTAATTTTATATTTGTTGATTCGATGTTTAAATTCTAACATGTTTGGTTTGAATATTTGGTAAAATATTACGAAGATGATTTTTATGTTTGGACAACAGATAGCGACATTGTACCATACTTTCTTCGAAATATGACGGATAATAATAATATGACGAAATTGACGTCATATTATTTCTTATACACTGAAAAGAATCTAATACCAAAGGTTAAGACGTAATTTTATTATTTAATATATGCAGTTTTTTTATTACGCATGAATGACTGTTGGTTCTTATTGGCGTAATTATATGTTTCCGATAAAAAATTTTTCATAATATGTATAAAAACATACATAAACACACATATATATTCATAACATGTATAATTATATATAAAAACATGTATAATTATATATCCATACATGTTCATACATCTTTCCTGCCTTTATAAAATTGCCTTTCAGTGTAATAATTAAAGAGATAATTTTCACATTTTTTGTTTTAGAAAAAAATAAACTTGCATAAATGTAAAAAAAATTGCTCATATATAATTATGCATAATTTTATATATAATTATACATAAGTAATTTTTTTACATTTCTTCAAACCTGATTTTTTTTTAAAACAAATAGTACGAAAATTACATTTTTAATTATTTTTAATGTTTTCACAATACTATTATTATTTCTATTACACTAAAAAATAATTTTACAGAAGAAAAAAGAATATGAATACATATAGACATATTTATATATAATTATA